TGTGATTGTTTTGGCAACACTGACAGACCCTGCACTTCTTTGCTTTCTGTAACTGAGAGCTCATCCTTCAATTGCTTTAACTGAAGTTCACGATCTTCAAGAAGCTCTCGTAATTCAGTTAGCTGTCTTGCTTCTTCATCAAGAGTTTGTTGCAGTTCATTGATTCTGGCATCTTTTTCAGATAACAGGACCTTTAAGTTGTAAATATCCTGGTCTTTCTGTCCCACAAGTTCTTCAAACTTGTGTTCCTTATCTGATAGCATAATTTTTAAATTTTGGATGTCTTTATGAGTTACACTAATTATTTCCTCAATTTTACTTTCTTTTTCACTAAGTTTGGACTTCAGACTTTCAATATCCTTGTCTCTTGCACTAAGTAAATCTGAGGACTCACTCAGCTTATATTTCAGGTCCTCATCAGACCTCTGCTCAATCTGTAAGACAAACTGAGCTTCTTTCTCCTCAAGCCGAGCTCTGTAATTTTCAATTTCCTGTTCTTTTGCATTCAGAGCTTCCTGAATATGACACCGAATCATTTCATCATTGTGGTCCCTTAGTTCTTGATAATCTTTCATAAGCATGCTGTATCGATCTTGTTGCTTATGTAGATCCTCTGCATTAAATTCAAGTTCCTTTCTCAAACGTTCTACCCTACTATTCCATTCCTGTTCAACTTGTGCCTGCTCAAGCTTCTGACTCTCAATCAATTGGCAAAGCATTTCAATCTCTTCAGTCTTGGTTCGTAACTCCATATCTAGCTCCGTGATTCTCCTCTGCTGCTCAGATAATAACTCAGATGAGGCACTTAACCCCAAAGAGTTACTTTCTGATTGTGATTTGAGTTGAACAAGTTCTTGTTCTAGGCCATGTTTCTGCTCATCTGCAGAAACCAAGGTTTCCTTTTGTATCTTTAAATGTTCTTTTACACTGTTGTGTTCTAACTTTAGAGCCTCATTTTGTTGAGTTAAATCTGCCAAAATTGTAGTTAGTGTCTGCAAATCTTCAGTTAGTACATCACGTTCTTTTAGAACATTTCTGAAATACTCCTCAATTTTTAATTTTTCATTACAAACATCTTCTATTTTCTTTGTGTAATCAAACTGCAAAGTCTCATATTTTTTCTCAGTTGCAACTACACACTCTTCTGATTCTCTGCACATACGATCATATTCTGCTTTTAGAGCATGGTAAGCATTTTGCAGGTTATTGTTCTCTTTCTCAAGTCTGTCACATTCCTGTTTTAATTCCTCCACTGTCTTGTACTGTGTTGCTATATGCAACTGTTCTTTCAAACTGTTATTTTCTGCTGTCAAATGTTCAACTTCTGAAAGAGACCTCAGTTCAGTAACCGTCTGTGACATTCTTTGCTGTATTTCCTGCAACTCAGCTTCTGCAGCCAACCTCAAATTCCTCTGCTGCTCTAAAAGTCCCTGTAGATTTTCATTATCTGCCGACAAAGCTGCCAGTTGTTCTTGAATTTCATTGTTGGTTGATTCTCTGTTAATAAAACTTTTACTATCATGAGTGATCTCAAGCTTATCCCATGAGAAGAAAGACTCCTTCTTACCCTCCACCCCTGATGTATCAGATTTTGTTAGAGATTTATTTTCTTCCACCAGTTCTCCAATCCTCCATTCCAGAGACTGCACATGATTATTCAGATCTTTGTTTCTTTGTTTCCACACTTCGATATCAATATCCTGTCTTTCTTTCATCTCCACTAACCTCTCGTTGGCACACGTCAACATGTCAATGTGGGTCGCTAATCGTTCCTTCTCAGCACAACCAGCATCCCTCTCACTTCTCACTTCTTTGAGTTCTTTCTCCAAAGTATCAATACAAATTTTAAGTTCTTCTTCAATGGCTTGATCAAGATCACCAAAATTCTTATCACAATTTTTCCTCGCCAATTCCATATTCTCTTTCAACAAACTGTCATTTTTCAATTTCAAGTCCTGTAACTTTTTTAGCATTTTCCCACTACGAACTTGTGCAGCATGAAGTTCTTCACTGAATTTCTCCTTTTCAGCTTCAATGTCCTTGATGTGGCCCTCTAGAGCAACTATGCGATCATTTAACATGTACGAAGCCTCTGAACACAAGACAGTCTCCTGCTGTTTCCGTATGTGTTCTTCTTCAAGTTGTGCTTCAACAGAACCCCACCCCCACCTTTCCTCTTCACCCTCTACATCCATATCCCAACTTGAAGACCCAAAGTTAGAAACTGTCTCTGGTGCCATGATCTGTTGGACTGCATCCACTGAAATGTCCTTATCCATAAAATACTCCAACTCACATGCGTTCTCTGATCTACTCATTTGTAGCAATGGTTTGCTGACTTCATTACAGTCTTCATCTGGAGAAATTTCTACACCATCTTCTTCAAGAATTAGGACTGTATTACCAGATGCTGAAGGAACTTTTGATGCAAGTTCTGCGATTCTTAGTATAGCTTTATCCCTTTCTGATCTCATGAAATGCAATTCTTCTTCCGTCTTTATCCGATCATCCACTTCTGTAGAAATTGAGTGTTCCTGTATAGGTTCCTGGAATGTTACTGACTTAGACCACAAATTAGGATCATCTGATACTATCTTCATATTCTGAACACATTCTTCTGCAACTCTGACAATGTCTGCAACCTCATGTTCAGCCTTTATTTGCAAAAGTTCCTTAAAGAGTTCCTCATTTTGATTCTCCAGAGATGACAACTTAAATTCATACTCACGTGTTACAGATTCAAATTTCTGGGAGGAATTAACTTCTGCTTCATACAGCGTGGTCTGCAATTGCTGAATATAATTATTTTGATTCAAAACCTCATCTTGGAGGACATTCACTTGCTTTGTAAGTTCCTCCTCCACTGTACCTTGAAAGTTCCCAAGTTCTGCATTGGAAGAGGCTACAGCTATGCTGAGGTCTGAAACCTGTGCTTCTTTAACATGTACTATCTCTTGTAATGCAATGCTGGACTCTTCAGAGCATGATAGTTTCTCCTGTAAAGATGCATGAATGTCATGCCCACCATCTGAAACATTTCCAAACTGTAACTGCAACAAACGAGTTTGGTAACTCTTAATTTCATTATCTTTGTCCTTCAGAATTGACTTTAAATGGCCTAATTCTTCATTTAAACTAGCAACATGCTGTTCAGAATCTATTCTATTAACATTTGAGTCTGTTTCAGTAGGGAACTGCATCATTGTAGCCTGAAGCATATATCTTTTCAATTCTGCCTCTTGAAAATGAATTTTTTCTTGCAGTTCACTGTGTATCTTCTCTTTCTCCAAAGAATCACTTTCAAATGAAGATACTGTTCCCTCAAGTTCTTTTTCTAGGGAAGTAATTCTTTCATTCAGCTTGCACTTTATCTCTTCCTTTTCTAAGGTTGCTGTATCAAATGCAGAAGTCACCATATTCAGTTCTGCTTCTAATAACTGTATCTTTCCATTCATTTCCTTGCTAATATGTTCCTTCTCTTCATATGCTGATGTTTTCTCTTGTAGTTCAGTTTCAAGAAACTGAAGTCTTTCTTCAAGTTCTTTCCTTAACACTTCTTTCTCTGAAATTGTAGCTTTGAATTCAAATAATTTTTCTTGAAGTTCTTTTTTGAGATCTGAATTTGCTTGTTTGTAACCTTCCACTGTTTGGTTAAGCCCATCTACCTCATCTTCTATGTTCACCTTTTCATCATTCAATTTCTCAAACTGTTCCATCAGAGTTCTTTTTTCCAGTTCCACATGCTCTAATTGTACATTCACATTCCTCAAGTCTGTTTCCAAATTTTCTGCATGTTGTTGCATCTTCTGAACTTTCTCTTTCATCCTATGTTCAAGTTCATTCACAGCACGCTTTAATTCTGCCTCTAGTGTCTCAACTTTTTCTGAAGCCTGTGTAAATGAATACTCAAAATGTGACAATCTTTCCAATTCTTTCTGCAACCCCTTCAAAGTACTCTCCATATTCACCATCTCCTTCTTTAGGTCCACATTTTCTGCTGTCAGTTCAGAAACTTTTTTTGTTGACTCATCATTTTGTCGGTTTAAAACTTCAAGCTTCTTCTTCAGATTTTCTTCACTTGCAATAAGAGCTGTCAGATGCTGTTCCAACATCTCCTCATTCTCAACTACTTCTTCTTTAACTCTGTCAGACTCATGCAGCTTAATATTTAAAGCTTCCGCTTCATTTTCAAATAACTGACGTCTTTCTTCGACAACCGCTAACCCTTCTTCCAAATGCTGAACTCTCTCTTTAGTTTTTGAAAGTTCCTGTTCCAAGGATTCAACTACAGCTTCACGTTCTTGTAACTTTGCTTCAACTGCCGATAATGACTGCTGATTTCTTTCAGATAATGACATCAACCGTTCCTGCAGTTCTGTGATTCTCTGATTCTTACTTTCGAGCTCTTCCTCAAGTTCACTGACTTTTGCTGCTGAATCTCTGGAACTCAACAGTTGTTGCAAAAGTTCACTTTTCTCTGCCTCAAACTGCTCCAAATACTCAGTTTTTTGTTTCACTAACTCAGTTTCCAGGTCTTTAATTTTAATTTCTAACAGCGAACGTTTCTGTTCATCTTCTTGTTCCTTTGCATCTCCCTCTTCAGTTAACCTTGTTTTATCTTCTTCCAGCAACATGATCTGATTATCTTTATTTCTTAACTCCATCTGATTTATACCGCTCTCTCGTTCCAGTTCCGATATCTTAGTGGCCAGTGCCAAGTGTCTTTCTTCAAGCAAGGATATCTCCTCTAACTTGGCTTCCGATACCTTCAATTCATTTTCAAGAATTATGATCTTCTTAGTTGCCTCTGACAGTTCATCACCAATCATTTCAGTCCTTGACCGTTCCTCATCCAGTTCCTTTGTTAACATGTCAATCATTTTCAGCTGTTGCTCCAAGTTACTGGCATTTGCTTCATTAGCCTGTTGTTCCAGAAGCTTCTCATTCTGAGTTGTCAACTCTGAAATCAACTTCTCCTTAGCCTGGACAAGAGTTTCATACTGCTGAATCTTCTGCTCATGTCCTTTTATAGCAATAGCCTTGGCTTTTAAATTTGCAATGAATTTTTTATTCTTTTCAGTCAGTGCTGTTACCCTCCCTTCAACTTCTTTCAGTTTATCCATTTTTTCTTCTATCTCAGACTGTTTTAATGAAAGGGCTTGTCTCAGGACACTCAACTCTGCTTCACAAGAATTCAGATTTGATACTGCTGACTGCAACTGCAGTTCAACATCTTTCAGCTTTCCCGTTTGTATTTCAAATTCCTTGATATACTGAACTTTATCAGAGAGCTCTGTGGTAAGAGTCTCAATTTGCTGTTGATGCTGATGACATTCTTTTGCAAGCTGGCAGTTCAACTGATCCTTTTCTGCAAGGGCCACTGACATCTCATGTAACTGTGCATGGAACTGAAGAGAAATATTTTCTTCAACAGTTGACAGATGGTGCTGGAGAGAAGCAAACTCATTACTCTGTTTCTGTAAAGTTTCACTAAGTTTCATAATTTGTTTCTCCTTGTCTTTTAAGATGTCCTCTTGTTTTGTTAATACCGAGGTCATGTCTAATAATTCCTTCTCTTTATTAGCAACAGTCAGTTTCAGCTCTGACTGTTTTAATTCATACTGCTTTTCCACACTATTTAGCTTCTCATGTACATCTTTAAGAGTCATTTCTCTTGCTTCCAAAGTCTGTCCATTTATCTCTATCAAACTCTGCAGTGAAGATATTCTTTCATCTTGGCCAGTGATGGCATTGTTTTGCTCTTTCAATTTGGATGCCAAATCAGCAGCAGCTTTCCTCTGTTCAGTAAGTTCTTGATTTAACACTGAATTTTCACTTTTCACTTCTTTGAAACGTTCTTCTAATTCCATCTTCTCATTGCCCAAATCTTGCAAGCGCTTCTCCACTTCCGTGCATCTTGTCTTCCATTCTTCAAGATCACCTGCTACCTCATTAAGTTCTTTCACTATCTCTGCTATCCTATCATCTCTGTCATAGTCTCCACTGAAATTCTCCAACTTTGCAATTATTTCATTCTGCATTTCTAACTCTTCGTCACGTGAGTCTATCTTAGACTTTAAGTCCATAATTATTTCCTTCTGTTCTTCAATTATTCTATGTGAATTGAGAAGTTCAACCTTTAATTGTTCCAAAGATTTATTCAGATTTTTAGATTCTGCACTCTCAGGCAGGAACTGTTTTTCCTCCTCTTGTCTTTCCACTAGTTCCAAATTCTGGAAGAAACTGCTTGTGTCAAAATCATTCTTCACTTTTGTTGCAATGGGCTGTTCATTCACGTGGTCTTCGACAGCTCGATTCTTATGTGACATCATTTCCATTTCTTCCTGAAGTTCTGTCTTTTCTTTGGTAAGGATATCAACTTGTTCTTCCAAATCTACTGTCTTCATCTCCAGTGTCACTTTCTGATTTTCAAGCTCCTGTAGAGATGTCTTTAGGTTTTCTATTTCTGCTTCTAAATTTGATACTTTCTCCTTTACAGTATGGATACCTGTGAAAATAAACACAAAAATACAATTACACAATATTACGGGCTGTGATCTCCATCTTATATAATGAAACATGTTACTGTATGTTTCTTGTCACAAGATATCTCCAAGCTTTGTTGACCATTACAAAGACACACATTGATGGCCAGCCAGCCAAGGTTTGGGGAAGCAACAGCACATAAAGCATCTTGCTCCCCCTTCGCCATTTCAACTTTCCCTTCCCCTCTTACTGTCACGTAGCCGAGGCTCATGGATATTTTGTGTCCAGTATACTAGATTTAGTTAAACAGGAAATGTTTGAGAGTTTATATTGGCACCAAAATTCTTCTGCAGAAGAACATTAGACACCAAGAAGTTACTGTACCCAAATCAATAGTATTTTAACATAACAATATTTGCACAGAATATCTAACTTAAAACCAATGGCCTTTCTTGTCTGAGTTTGATGTTTGTAAAAATAAGTGGAAGAAACATATCACACCATCTTGCAACAGTTAAAACTAATTGCTTATGACTTTTAAGCAACAGAAATTAAATGTTACCATGGAAATGTATTAAAAGAATACATTTCTTTAAATGAACACCAGCATGGAAGGGTTAAACTTAACACTTAATGTACATTTTGACTGGAACATTGTATTTTAAAAATTCATATGTCATCATTAACATAAGCATGTAAACTAATAAGCAGGTTAGAAGAAAACCCCCCTCACCAATACAAAATGGCTGTTCTTTTGTTGTAAACAACCTGGAAGATTCATAATGTTACTGTGGTACATTTAAACACAAAAGAAATGTTTCATGCAAAACCCAAAGATATGCTGACAAGCTCCTAATACACACAGAATTTCATGTCTACCTACAATGATTCATCAATTATCATCAGTAAATGAAATTCAAAATATATGGTTTGTGCTTATACCAAAGTTGTTTATTTTTAATATTTCTCTAGCAAGTGCACTCAAATTGACAAGTCACACTTTTGAGGCATGAGAGCGAAGCATGTTGCCAGTGACTATAAATTTGATTAGAAAAAACACAGCAATTAATAAAGTGATAATGGTAACAAAAAATGTCTCTTATTATAATTGGCTGCACGGTACAGTTAGCATTAAAACACATGAAAAGGTTGAAATAAAGCAATCTCACATCACAACACTATAGTTCAGTCAATCAATGGATGATAATCACACTAACTCACAATTCTGATTTCAACTTTAGTGTTACTCTCATTCTATTATTACTAACAATACATGGCATATCACCTTGAAATTGTTAAAGGTTTGGATTTAACAAATTTCATATCCAAGTGATATCTAGTGGCATATTGTTCATACCAAGTTTAAAGAAAATACATTAAGTTTTTCAGACATTATTATGGTATCACACATGCAAGCTCATTCTTCTCTCCATAAGGCAACTCTGCCTTTCAGAATATTTGTTTCACACTCACTTTGCATATGCTCAAGTTTCTCTGCTTCCAGTAACGTTATCACATGTACATGACTGTCGAGGTCCTGACTCTGTTGAAATACTCTCTCCTCCAGCTCTGATGCTCTGGTCTGCCAATGTGCCTCTGAAACTGAACATATAGCTGCACACTTCATCTGCTCCGGCAAGTATGCAAGCACAAGCACCATGCATAAAAAGGAACATTTTCTAAAATTTATTACTGGCTTTCATAATTAGAAATTACGCTGTTATAGTTGGAGATGGAAATGTTATTATTGGATGGACAGCAGACAAGTTACATGAAGTAAAATAAATTACTGACATGACTGGAATGTTATTTGGAAATTATCCATTAATTCATTCTTGGAGTTTTTAAATAATATTCAAGAATGAAACACTGTTGTATTTAGTTTTGGTGATGATGGGGGGTCTTTTAGCACAGCACAAAATTGAAGTTTCATTAATGACAAAAAAGAAAATACCCAAGAATTTCTGCTACCTCAAGGTAAAATTACACCTGTTTCCTGCACAGCTTCTATAGTCATAATGTCTGTGACTACTACACACAATTATCAATCGTGAGGTAGTAGTTTGTACATATAATAGTACAGAAATCTCTGTTATTGGAGTCACAACAAAAACAAGAACTTACTTACGGGAGATCTGAGATTCTCACAGTGCTGAAGATGACTATGTTGGTTTTCTTGGTTATTACGGTGTTTGGATTTGTAGGTAGATACTAATATTTCAGAGAAACATACTGTCCTCCAACTTCACAATTCAGAAGGCCAATTTGCCAGCAAAGTTTTGACTTACAGAAATTTATTCATTGTAAATCTCCAGCAGATCCATTATAAGATTACTACTCAAATTATAAATTTTGTTAAAGTAGCAAAATGTTTATTTTACCAGGATTAAAACAAGTGTTCAAGTTTTCCAAAGAAAATGAACTCTGTTATTTAGACACTGTCAGATATTTCCTATATATCTTTCCTTTTGTTAAAGCCCCACAGTCAGAAATATTTTAGTGCAAATTATAGCACCTAATTTGTAAGTGATGTCATAACTGGTAGATCGTTCTCATGATAGTCTGGTAATAACAGAAAACAATTTAGGTAATATTAAGGCACTCTCAGTTTGAAAGCATCCTTTAGAACAGGGTGGTCCAACTTTTTTCCTCGCTCAGGCCAGAATAGTTTTCCTGTTGGACCCAAGGGCCAAGAAACCCCTACTGTCACTATTTTTGAATTGTCATTATCAATAATAATACTTATTCAGAAATGACAAATTACCATTGCATATACTGAAATAAACATTTTATTTAAATGTGCACAAACTACTACAGAGTTGTATATTGTTTTAAATTCTGTCCTGCAACAGCTTGTATCTCTCACAATTTTTACCTGGAAAACTTACACAAATTATTTTAACTCTGCTACTTTAACAGCTTGTATCTGATACAATAACAATTTGCACCAGCCAAATATATATCTTATGCTTTTAAAGTCAATGGCTTTAGTGAGAGCACTGAGCAGAATGTTCTTTTACCAGTGATGGATTATAAACTTTGAAAAAAATGGGCTTGTACTAACTACTTTTGCGGGCCGGATCTGGCTCGCAGGCCGCCAGTTGGACCACTCTGCTTTAGAACAAGGAATTATATTAAATAAAGGTAAGATGGCAACCCACCAGGACCATGTACAATTAATCAAGTCATGACAGCCATGTAATGGAAAACAACAACTCTAGTCCTTTATCAGTGCGGCCCAAATATATTAGAATCTTAGTTAAGCAGAAGCAATTCCCCAACCAAGAAATATGAATGGAATTAAACGGAAGAGCAGACTGTAAGATAAGAAGCCACATAATGACTCAATAAAACGCCCAGCTTAGATAAGCCTTAAAGAAACAACAGTAACAGAACATATTATACAAACAGAAAAACTGGAAGTGTTTAAAAGCAGGAGTAGGATAAGTCCTGGTGACAAGACACCTTCTAAGGATTTGTCTATTCTTGAGAGCCAACTTCCAAATTGTCTACATGTGAAATAAACACCAGACAATAGTGTAAAGAATGGATTAGGCCATGCCACAGAATGCCCAAGTGCTGGAGAGGAAGAGTGTGACAGTCTTCCCTAACTTCTGACACCCCAGATTATAAATTACATTTATAGAATTTAATCACTTTCAAAGTCTTCAAAAACTGCATCTGACAACCATCAGCAGTGTTTTTTCACCCACACCTGTTAGTAACTACTGAGTCAATCCTCATAACCACAACTTTGAACTGTCACTGCATGCAAAAACACAATTTACAACAAGCTGAAGACTTTCCTTCAGTATACGTACCAGTAAACTCACAGAACAAAACTGAAGTATTACAAGAACTTGCTGTTGGAAAGATACACTTAAATGTTCCAAAAGATTAGGCATTGCAGGTTTAATATCACTTGTACCACAAGTAGATTTGTTTATGAACATGTAACCAAACAAATGTGATACATCAAAAGAAACCTATACTGAATTGTGCACAAATTAAACTCACTAAACTCTACTAGACATGTAGCTAGATGAGTAATAAAAATTTGAACACAATCTGTCAGATATATTACATGTAATGTCAGTTTACTGCTGCAATGTGCCTGGCTTAGACAGGCAGCTAGTTGCTCGGGTGTCAATGTGTTATGGAAATTAAAACTTATGGTGTAATTTAAATAAAACAAAAAGATTCAGCCGTAGCAGTAAACATTAAGCACCATTAGTTTAAACTGTCATTAGTATTACTACACACCGCATACAGAACTACAGAATGTTGAGAAATCTCAAATGTAGCAAACATGATACATAAACTGAGGGAAAATCATCAGTAGCATTTACCAACTAACATACTAGAATTATTATTTTGTATATGAATAATAATCTGGTATATACAACCATATCAGGAAACCAGCAACAGAAAAGCCAAAATATTTCTTCCCTCCAATCAACATTTAAACAGAAAATGTTGCATGATGGGTACAAATTATACCACAGTTAACTCATCTTACTACAGTTATAGTGTAGAATGGGGCACTCCAAACAGCAATACACACTGTGGTAAATAAAGAATAATGCAACATTTTCACGATAGCTTCTAAAAACTTGATAGCACCACAACCAGAGTTCAGTGGTGCAACAGAATGGAAAACAGAATTTTGTCCTGAAATTTGTTTTTACCTTTCAATTCATCAAAGTCTACCAGATGTAACTGTAGGTTACCTTTGTCCTCTTCCAGTTCTGCAACTCTGTTTTGAAGCTTCACAATCTCTTCATTGGCATCAGACATCTGAAAATGGAAAAACCACATATCAAATTTTACTACAAGCTCAACGGCTTTTAATTTACTATTCTACCAAACCACTGTAAAAAAAACAGGGGATGGATGTTGTAATAACAAATCAAAGGTAAGGAAGAGGGTGAGAAAGAAAGAAAGAAAAGTAAGAAAAGAATAAAAGAAAGAAAAGAACAAAAGGAACTAAATAAGGAATACAGAAAAGAAAGAGAAATAAAGGACAAAAAAGAAACAATACAGTTAGGGCAGTATTTCACAATCCTTCCTTTGTGCTGGCACATAATATACAGGTGAAGTTATCCCTGATGTATAATTAAGTACCATGCCCTGAAGGAGTGGAGGTATAGCTCTCGACAACCTTAACCTCAAAACTAAATGGTCAGCTTCATGCTTGGGCCACTTTATTCCTGGTAATAAAGCCCTAGTACCCACTGAACAGGAGGCTGGGTAGGCCCCAAGGCCAGTCTGGATTCTGGCAAAATATTATTCTTATACTAAAACAGATATTCTTAAAATGAGTAATATAAAGAAATATAAAAAAACACTTGGCAGTAATAAAGGAGATTACAAATTTAATGACAGGTGTATAAGCTTCACCACTATCTAAAATGTTTGTTCTAGACTATGAAACACCTACCTTCTTCAATCCATCTAATTGCTTAGTCAGGTTCTTCACTTTGGTCTTTTGTTGCACTTTTAATTTCATGATTTGTTTATTTGCATCATCCAGTTGGTGAGTGAGGTCCTCCATTCTTGTATTATCTTGCTCTTCCATTGGCCTCTTCTGCAGTTCTTGATTCTGTTCCTGAACTCTTACCACTTTCTCCTGCAGTTCTGCATTCTTAGTACTCAGGTCAAACCTGATCAATTCCAAATACTTAACACTGTCTTCCAATTCAAGCAACCTGCAATATACAGGAAATATGTAGAATCTTGCTTACATACCTATTTACTCTGAATTGAGTCAACTGCTCAGAAATAAAGACTCAGCTAAGGATTATAGTTGCAATAATATGCTAAAACTTTGCATACTGTGTAGTGTATTAGAATATAAAATATGCTAGTTGTTATTACACACCTCAAAGGTATTTAAAATATCATGTGTCTCTGTAAGTACAGGTTTGTCCTTTCTATTGATATGTAGGTTTTTGTATTTTTTATTTTACAACCATTTTTAACAATGAAGAAAAATACAGTCACTTCAATTTGTCTCTCAGCATGGTATTTCTAATTTGCTTCAAATTTTGAGGCACTTTGTTTAACTTTCTGCATTCTTCATGAAAGACCTTCTAGTGGTTGACAAAAATATTATCAATTTAGAAAACCATTTCTGCCATTTCTGGTGGCCACTTTAGTTTAATCCTTGAATAACCATTGACCTATGACATGGAAATTATTTTTACACTTGTATAGGTTTGCGTGAACAGAACATTCACCTCAAAATATATACATGATTCATCCCTACATAGATGTCATATAAAGGAGAGGTGCATCCTGGATAATAATGAGAAAATATTTTCTCAGTTTCATTCAAAATCAAGGAATACTTTCTGAAAAATATCTTACCAAATGCTGTACAGTAGTTAATTTTCCTTGGTCCATCAAGCTAAAGCAAAATTGTAGAACATTACTATAAAGAGGAAACTGCTTCATTCATAATCATTCTAAACCTCAATGCCAATGCAGTGCAGTTCATAAAAGTAGCAGTAAATAACCTAAGAATCAGTCAACTGTTGCTCTTACCTATGATCCTTAGCTGCCACCTCCTCTTTCAGTCTTTCATTCTCTTCCTTCATTTTTACTTCTTGTGCCACAAAGTTATTTTGCATTTTTCTCATCTCTTCTCGTGTTTCCTCCAGGTTATCCAATGTTACCTTGTTTCTTCTTGAGAAATCTTCTGACATTAGTGTAATTGCTTTGGTTCGTGCATCAATCACAGAGTCCTTTTCACGGAAGTTTTCTTGCAAATCCAGGATGGTGGTTTCCAGTTCAGCAATTTTATCATTAAGCTCGACAATCTTATTGTCTCTATAAACAATCTGTGTAATCAGTTCTTCTGGTGTTTGACTTAAAAATTCAGCTGAAGTTGCTATCTGGAAGAAAAAATTCAGCTATGTAATGATCCAGTGATTATTAATCCTTTTAACATTAACCCAGGCAAGGATGCAGAAACTGAAATGAAATCTACTAAACACTTAGAAAAATCTCCTTAGCCATAGAAAATGATGTACGCAAGTACTTTTATAGCCACCACCAAGCTCTGCTAACTCACCTGTGGCAGTGGATGATCATGTTTCTGAAGCCTTAAACCTAAGTGTATGAAATATGCACAGCATCACTATATGTATGTTACTGGACTTGCATAGCAGAAACCAAAAGCTGAATGCTGTTATTACCAATGCCTGCCATTAGACATGATCCTGGGCCAGTTCCGTCCATCTCGCCAGCCTCACAACCAATATCCTTAAGATCTAAGTACCTCACTAGTAGGAGAATACAAAGATTCAACATATTCCTGAATCACTAACTGCCATATACATCAGTAAAACATTCATCATAACTGACATCACTTCAACATACAGCAACAAGTGCAAACATTACAACTAATGTTACAATGTATGGCTAAAATAAATGTTAAATATTGTAAATTTACAAATGAAATTTAAATAAGAACATGTTACAACACATCTACTAGCTGTTCTAATAATATTATACCTGCAAGGTCAGATCCCACTGAATCCTGTACATGTATAATCCCAATATTGACTGCAAATAAAATGGGAAATCTGTCTGGACAGTGGCTGGATGTGGGCCAGATGACTGATGCAGAGGTTTTTCTCTTTGCCACCTTGTCCACTGGGATCCACCCAGTGTCACATCCAATGGGTAGTGAAGGCTCTCTGCCCAGGGATAAAGTGGGCAGAGCCTGATGCTTTGGTTCCACTAGCCACTGTTAGGTGGGATATTTAGGCCCAGCTTAACTCTACATTTACATATAATACTGACTGTAATAGTAAAAGACTCGAGAAAACACTCTTACAAATACAGTACTCTGAATTTGTGACTGGCAGGAAGAGAAAACTTGGGAAATCTAAACATAGATGGGATAATATTAAAATGGATATTACAGAAACAGAACGTCATGATGTGGAATGGTTTCTTCTGCTTCAGGACAGGGTCCAGAGGTAGGCCAATGTGAACACAGTAACAAATAAATTCTTTATCACATAAGAGATGGGGAATTTCTTAACAAGCTGAATGACTGCTACTTTCTCAAAAAGGTTTCTCCTCAATGAAGTTTACCAGCTAATAGTAGTTACAGGGTCATAACTTACATGTTCCTTAATTTCTTGAAGCTTGGCAGTTGACTGGCTAGCTTGAAGCCCTCTTTGCAGTTCCTGTATCATTATATCCCTCTCATCCAACTGGGTTTTCAGATGTTGAACCATTTCATAAATTCCCTTCTTGTTTTCATTAAGTTCCTTACCACGTTGTTCAAATTTCAACCTGCATAACACAGTTAAAATAAGGTATTAAGGTACTTTCTTCAAAGTCTCATAACAGGTTTCTATGAGTATGATATTAATAATATTTTAACTTCCACTCTCCTCTAAATTAATAATTAAATCTCAAATTGAATAGCAGTGTCCACTCTGTCATATAAGAAAAGAAAGGTGTCCCACTATATGGCATGCAGGCACTTGGAGGGAGAAGAGGTATAGCTCCTACTCATTCTTAACCTCGGCACTAGATGGGGGTGAGTGGTCAGCATCATGCCCCAGCCACAATTTACCCCCAGGAAAGGGTCCCAGTACCCATTGGATAGGAGGCTGGGTGGGCCCCATAGCTGGTCTGGATAGGAAAAGAAATTTGAACATTTTACAACAACTACAGATATTTAACTGATGAAATAGCTGACCATAGTGTGCCCAAACAAGCCTTGGTTTCAATCCAAGTAAACAACCCTCACAACAGAGAAACTCGGATTTCTTAGTTATTATGTATAAATGTTAAGCAGAGTGGGAACAAGCAATTTGACAAGAGAAATGGTGTACTGTCCATCACATTCTTCTTAATTAAAACAGGTACTGGTAACATGTCTGCTCGTGGGTTAAGTACAATACTTGTGACAAATTTAAGGATATGGTTTCATTCCTCTGCCATATGCCATTATAACAGCTTGGGCAATTCTCACTGTTAGGATGTGACACTGCCAAATTATAGTTTGGCTGATACGTGGGAATATACATGAAACACCAAAGGACTACTGAGTAGCCAGTCACCAACAGGTTCATATATGTAAACAGTAAGACACAAAATCTTGTATTTTGGTTGTGAACTGAGATAAGATGTTCAAACCAGCATGAAGTGCTGCAATTCAAGCTCTCAAGCCAGGCAGTTGCTGCAAAGAAACTCACTCATTGCATTCAAAGAAATTAGTCACTGTGAGAAAAGTCATTCATAGCTACTTGAAGCAATTAGTCACTTGTCAGAAGCAATGTTTCAGAACAAGACTAGCAAAGAATACAAAATCTCAGTATCATCTTCTACAATTAAACCAAGAAATCAGTGAAGTGATTTATCCATGAAGTTCACTGTCTTCTGGGATGGTGCAGTGCATAGTATGGTTTTGATCAAAAGTATTCCAGCCCCAGTAACAAAATAATGGTAAAGCCCTTGTGACATGCAATTAATTGCTCGTACCTGTTTTCTTCTAGCTTCTTTCGTAGCAGGATCAGATTTCCTTTTGGCACCTTTTCTGCGCTGCTCTTCCCAGGAGGTGACGTTTCCTCTTTAAGACTTTCAACTTTTGGGGTTCTAGGATCCATCACCTGTGCTTGATGTTCTGTACAGTCCTGTTTCTGCATCACTGCCTTGCGTTTGGCTGCTTTTGAACGTGATTTAATGTCAGAAAGTTTTGTGGCATATTGCTGTAAATGAAATATAGAAACATCTTCAAGCATCTGTAAAAAACTAATTTGTAAGTTTTTCTGCTTTAGGAGATGTGGCTTCCTTTGATGTTTCATATGGTATTTCATCATATAATTCACCCACATTCTTTTACAAAATTTTGTGGAAAATATGAAGAGTGATATACATGAGTACTTATGAAAATGACCCACCCCATAAAAATATCTTAAACATATCTATGATTATGTTACATTCAAATTAGAAGCATGTGGTGATTTTCATATTTAGAAATAACAAAAATAATTCACAATAAAATCTCCTCACCAGTCTTGCAATAGCAAACTTAATTCAAATTCATCAAGTATTCTTGGGGATGAAACATGTGGACACAGACAATACCTCATCTTATGTATATATTTTATGAACTTTGTGCAAAGAACACAGTGCATTTTACGCGTGCTTTAAGATTATGGGGCCTGGCTGCCAAAAAATATGGCAGCACAAGCAACAATCTTGAATGTGTTAATTTATGATTGCTTCATTACTATGACAGAAACAATTTTATTTACCTCAACTTGTTTTTCTTTGTTCACCAATTTCTGTTCATTCTGTTTCAATAGCTCTTTCAATTGTGTTATCTTCTCTTGCTGTTGCTGAAACTGATCTTTCAGATCTTCTTCTTCTTCTTCTTCTTCATGATATGAGACAGGGGGGTTATCCCCAGTACCAGCTCCAGGATTCCACCACATTTCTTATTCTGGAACAGAACAATATCTATAATGGCAAAGTCACAGTCTTTCAACAAGAGTGGAAAGGTATACTCCAATGGAGCATACATATTTTCTAAATGTGTTATTTGTTATTTTAAGTATGTCAGTGGAATAGATATTCATTTACTTCAGACACAAATCTAGTGCAGCAAATGTTAACCAAACTGCAGACATCACAATGCATAGAGCTAACAATTATTTTCCTTTTATTTTGTAAAATAATCATATCAAAAAAGTTTTGCTAATAAAAGATGTACATCTTAATGAGATCTTTATTTTATACCCAGTACCAATATTTTGTATGAGCCATTTTTCAAAAAATCTATAGTTTACTTTGAACTTCATGTAAACTAGAGGTTATCTTGAACCCATAAAAACAAGAAATAACCTGACAATTTTTAGTGTCGCCTTCCAATGTATAAATATTTCACTCAGTACTTAAAAACAGGCTATTCAAAGGTACTAGTCTGGAGAAAATGAGGAAGACCATGAAAAACTTTAATCAGGACAGACAGTCTAAGCAATATCTTCCATGTAAAAAGCATGAATTATAATCACATGACACAATACGATAAAGACAGGCTGCGTTTCATGCAGTGGAGGGCTTTCCGTGGTTGCTCTCCCTACATATTTACCATTTTATTTAATAACAATACTTTGACAACCTTAAGATTTACTGTTGCTTTAGAAGTGTAATATACTAAATGTAAAAAACCGTAATGGGCTATGATGATCTACACACTTCCTTGCCACCTTTACAGTACTGAAGACCCATTCATCTCACTACTTAATCTATCAACTGTAACTTTCTGCTTTCAATACCTGGAAGATAACTTAGCAGCAGTGCATGTATGTTGTATTTGAGAGATACTCTGTTGGCCAAGAAGCTGTCCTATAGATTTTCTGCTTTTCTCAGTCCTTACTGGATTCATTCCCAACAAACAATGCATTAGAGTCAACTTATTTTCACCAGTTTTACATAATATGTACAGTCCATACTGTGTTATTAAATAACAAACTACAATTACAATTGGTCATGGCATGATTTCAACTACACTCACAGATAGACCCAGAATGTGAAACAGGAATTATACTCAAAGCTACCCAATAACTTATTACAGTTCACTACTGACAGTCAATGTATTTACTAAAACCACATTCATTATTTTCTTCTCAATGTCAAAATTTGTTCATATTATGTCCACAGGATCTACAAAAATAAAAGTAGAAGCAACTAAATTTCTTGTTCTACAAACTGACAACAACTTAAACTGAAAAATGCATATTCAGTACATTATCCCTAAACTAAGCTCAGCACAATTTGCTATGAGGATTGTCATATAACTCATGGAAACAGAAGTTTTAAAATTAGTCTACTTTGCTTACTTTCAAACCATCATGTCTTACGGAATAATTTTCTCAGGAAACTCAACAGACAGCAAAAAAGTACTTTACATCCAAAAGAAAGAATAACAGTAGATACTAAAAGGAGAGCCTCATATAGGAAATTATTTACAAAATTTAATATTCTTTTACTAGCCAGTGAATTCTTGCTCTCATTATCATCATTTGTACTAGAGATTTTTCAAATAAACTCAGTTATCCACAATATAAATACAAAATACAGATATAACCTTCATGTGCCAAATGCTAACATCAGTATATATCAAAACTGAGTTTGCTATACTGGAATTAAGCTATTCAGAAATCTTCCCTACTATCAAAGGTCATAATCACAATATAATAAAGTTTAACCTTGGAACAAAAGGGTATCTCCTATCTCACGCCTACCCCATAGAAAAATTTACTCAACCCAAAATTCTCAGCTATTATAAATACATGTGAGCAATAGTGGTAATGCGTTCTTGTATAATTATTTTTTGCAGTAATACTGTAGCATACTGTAAATCACTGTCACAACAATGTAATTTGTATTTGTATTAGAAACAAATATTGTATTTTTGTTGTGACATGTTCTACATCCCTGGCTTAGGCCAATAAAGGAATTATTTGCTGTAAATAAATTCTATTATATACGATAATCCAAATGTCAAATTCTGCACATGGCCCATATAAACAAATTCCTTTCACGCCATTCAAATGAAATAAAACAATAAGACGATACTTTGTGTATTTACCGAATTATTATGGCACACCTTGGCAATCATGTATGGACATATTGCCAAACGATCATCTCACCATTTTAAATTAATTACTTTCGTGAGGACTTCCACACAGCGTCCGTTAAAATCGTTCGAACGGTAACTACTTCATTCGTATAAAACCTTTCTATAAAAAGTACATATAATTTCAATACATATGACTTCAACAAAAATAACTTCTATCCATTACCATATGTTTAATGTATTACAAGAATAAAAAAAGAACTGCTCCTAAAACGGAAGTTGTTGTCTAGTATATCGCACTATAATACATACATATATAAGTTGTAAGCAGAAACAGACACCCTTCGAAACAGTTCAAAAATATAGAATAACACACAGTTCTGTAGACTTCATTTAGTTCGTAATAAATTGTAATATTTAACTTAATAATAAAAATAAGATAAATCTGAATAAATGACAAATTTCAGTTATTCTATGGCTATTAAAATTCTCATACAATCTTACACTGGAAGTAGCGATAACAGCTGTTCACATGCTACCAACTTAGGAATGAGGTTATAAACTCAAAAAAGAATTTATCATCATATTCAAACACATAATTATGGAAAGAAACTGAAACCATGAACGGCAGGAAAGTTTATGAGGTATTGTACAGGATTACTTTAGGTGTTGTTTTTCATAGTTTTTTCATACATCGTGCTATATTTAATTTTATCATGTACTTGACATAGCTTGTTTGGATTAATTGTTTCATTACATATCCTGTTTCGTATTATAAAGCCCCTTTTTCACATCAGATCCAGGAGTGGCTGTCATTGCCTATTTTTCCTCAGGTACCTCATGCAATCGAATTGAGAATGTGTAACTACCACCGCCTATTCTCCAGCTCGATCTCATATCAACACCCCTGACACACAACTGAGGCAGTTGATAAATTAGAATGATTTGTATTAGAACCAGTAACCTTAAATAAAATCCAAATTCAGTGACAGTTTGTGTATGTTACAATACTGTAAATAAACCTGAAAGTCATCAGATGTGAGTATACAGACATACGTGGTCAGCATGTTGTAAAATTAAATGAGAGCCCACAAAGGGCTGAATTTGTATGCAAGGCTCCCTCAAGTTTCTTCCCACCACCCTTACAGATAAAGCATGCATAACCTAGTCTAACCAGAAGGGACAGCAGAATACTATGGAGGTGGTTAAATGCCAGTTTCTTACTTCATAAGCTAGCATTTAATGCAAGGGCAGTCATTGGACAAGTTTTCCTCAAAGTACCTCAGTTTCTACACAACCAGTCATTATTCCATCTTTGCTCCTTGCTTATCCATCACTGACCACAATGTATACAATGGGGCTGGCCAGCCAGCATATTATCAACACCTCAGTCCTTATCTAGAAGGCTTCATTTCTGACTTTGTGTTTGATTGGATTTAGAGTGAAAAGTTACATGAATACTTAATAAAAAATACATTCTGAATAATCCATACACAATCTTCCATTTTTATTATGAAGAAGGTATACATAAGCACTACAGAATCTGGAAGTAAAAGCAATGAATTATAGATGACTTATACATGAAATTGAAATGAGTGACCTGCATAATGTCCCAAGTGACTTTACCCCAGGGGTAGTCCTTGATAAATGTGGGATGGGTGGCTTGACATTAACTTTGAATATGATGGCAGAAAGGAATTTCTGTCCCTGCCTTGAATTGGATCAAAATTGTATTTCCTTTGAATTGATCTGGCCAGGTTATCTTCTGATTTGTCATCATATCATGTGGTATCACATCATTCTCCACTAAAAGTGCAATGTTCTGAATTCAATGTATGTTTTTATTTTGTAGGTTCCAAACAGAATACTGAGATTTCAGAGACCAGATAACTTTTCAGTTGGTGTAGCTGCTCGACTTCCTGAAGCTTACAAGAAATTTTGGTATGAATGGAAAAAACAGAAACCGACACCTGTTCACTACATTCCTGAACCTGGAAAATGGAAGCGGGACCCAGAGACAGGAGTAGTGTATGTAGCTTATAAAAGCTTTTTTACTAAAAAACTGAAAATAGTATTTTGGATTGTCACACTATGGTAGTATCAGAAACAAAGAAATATAAATATTGCCATCTGATTGTACTCACAGGACTGGCACTTGGAGAATGAGAAAGTAGGCAGACCTTGTAAGAGGCCTGATAACACAATCTTATGTGATGCCATTATCATGGTTTGATACAGTATATAATACATGCTTGAATGCAGGATTATTAATCTTCAGAGGTTGACAGTGACAACCCTGAAGATGGAGGCAGTATGTTACCCTGAAACATTGGTACTTGCCTACAAGTTCATATTATGTTATTATCCAGAAGACCAACTTTGATATATTTACCGCCATGAGAACCTCAGATCTCATAGTGAGTAAATATTCACATATGGATGAGAAATATAAGCTTCATTATTTTTGTGATACCATCATGCCCATATTCAGGGTTCTGGCCCCTGACCAAGCAAGTTGAGGAAATTAACACACTAGACATGTATTCAGGAGGTACCTAGTTTGAATCTTGGCTGGTTACTACTAGCTGCTCTAGCTAATCATTTATATGGTTCTCGGTCTCTCCAAGTGAATGCTGGTAATACAATTTAATAGGTCAAGACAGCCTCCATCCAAATCCCCTTCACCGTTCATGAGCCACTCATATGACAAATCTGAGAATAATTACATCACTTGGTAAACTGTTATCTATAAAGTATGAGTGGTGTGTTACCCTCATATCAATTACTTGACATAGATGTCCACAATTATTAATGGACAAACCCTCTATTTCTTTACATTATCACTAGAGCAATACTGACATTTGTTCCAGCAATACATCAGTGCTCAGTGTTTGTATGCACCAGCACACCTCAGCTTTCATTTCATGTCAAAGTTTTTCCTTTGATGAACTTCAGTTGCAAGGTGCATGGTCTGGTCTGCAAGATGGATGGACAAAACATTCCAAATGAAACTGCTCCAGGAGTTGATTCATTATTGTCCTGTGAATACCAAAATGCTGTACACTGGGTCAAGAGTTCCTTGCTTGCAGTGTCACATTGATGGAATGTGGATTTATCACTTCATCCTGCCATCAAAGGCAGCGCAGTAGAGTGAAAACACACCATATTCCATTAAAAAAAGTTGAAGACTTTGCAGTCTGTGGATGTCACTTATTCAACAAATTCTTTTTTGTGAGACTCTCCAGTCCATTGAGACATGTGCCATTGGTTTGATGCAGAATTTATAGGCACCCATAAAGTTTAATCTGTTACAGAACTCCTGTGCAGAATGTTCCAATCCCAGTATTGTACCCAAATGAATGTCATCAAGGCTTATGGGGAGGAGAGGGGATTGTGAAGGGGTTCCAAAAACGTGATCCAACTCGGCGACGTGTGCCTCACTTCTGGTTTCCGACGCTTCTTCGTAGTGTTGTCTACAGTGAGATTCTTGACAAGCACATGACTATCATTATGACACAAAGAGCATTGGATCTGATTCATGAAAACTATGGTTTGGACCACTACATTCTCAAGGTGACTAATTTTAATTACATGTTTTTATCTCCTCTTAGGTAAATATAAAGTTATCTATCTGTGACATGGATACATATAAGGGGCAAAGATTAAGTTCCACATACTCTTACCCTCAACATTAAATGTAAGGACAAATAAAGAGAAGGATATATGTTTATTTCAGACACCAGCATGTGATTTGCAGTCCCTTCTTGCCTCCAAGCTGAAACGTAAAATGCTCTTAGCTTTGCTAAAGAAAGATTTATATCCAGATGATCCTGTTAAAAGAGAAGATGTGTACAACACATACAAAAAATATTTGGGAAATGTAAGTCTTCTGCTGAATTACTAAACTCTTATAACAAATATTGCATCCTTTTTTAGAGTTAATGGTAGAACAGTCTTTCTTATTTCAATGCTCTTCTTCACTTGTTTGTAAGCCAATTAAAATTCGCTGTAAGTTTCATGGTCTGACATAACAGAAGAGAGAGACCCCAGGCCTATGTAAATTGCAAATATATGAAGTGTCTTTTAAATTAGTGTTAATATATAGTACTGAAAAAGGACAGTCATACAAAAAGGTAAAAATTAAATACATGCAAATGATCCAGAATATTCAAAAGCATCATGGTGGAAACAAAATGGGACAATTAGAATATGGGAGGTTATAGATGTTCAGTGAAGTTATGAGATGAAAAGATTATAGTGGTTTGGATTAGTTGAAAAAGAATAGCTATAATGTAATATATAGTAGGGCTCTGAAATTAAAAGTAAAAAATGACATTGAACAAACATACTTCTTCAGTGAAGAAGTGACTAGTTGAGAGTAGAGGTGTCTTGATTAGCCACAACTTAACTTCCTATCTGTTTTCAACCCACATGTACCCCTTCCTTCTGTCATAACTTCTGCAATAAAAATGATGGCAGTAAGTCCCTCGAAAACATCAGAAGCATCTTATAATACATGGTGTTATAACCCAGAAGACTAACCTGTCACTGGTAGTAGAATCTGAAGGTCAGAAGGCTGCATGAACGAAATTCATCCACCTTATCCTCGCAAACATTTTCTTCAGATACTCTGTTAACGGAATGTAAGATTTACACCACTAATAACAAAATCAACTCTTAGACATTATTGTGAACCAGGACCATCCACGTCCCATTTTAAAACCTATTATTTCTGCATGATCCATCTCAGTGATTTATCTGTGTGGTCTTCCAAGAGGATGTTTTCCAGGTTTCCACGCCATAAATTTGTACACATTTCTTGTGTTTCTCATCCTAGCCATATGTCTAGCCCAATATACTCTCCTTGATTTCATTATCCTAAGCTTCTACCAATTCTTCAGTCATACAGCCCACTGTATATATTAAAATAAGTTAATTTTGTGTTCTTACATCTGATATAGTACACTGAAGAAGAATTAGAATGGTATGGGTTGTCTATGTTTGAGGCTATCAAGAAACAAATTAATTTGGAGGCAGAAATGAACAAGCCACAACCATTGAAACATGTGTACCGTGAAGGCTGTCTTAGAAGAACATGAAGTAGCTCTACAGAAACAGTAAGTGCATACCAGATGTCCCCATATAATGCTTAGCACTCCTGCTTCATATTCTGGATATCTCAGGTTTGATTCCTGGCATGGATTTCAGCTACTCTCTGAAGTTCTTTATGGTATTCCTCAATGCGTCAAGGCAAATGCTAGGACTACTTTAAAACAGGTCATAATGACTTTCCTTTCATATAGATTATGAGCCAGGATAGCTTAGTCAGTAAAGTGCCTGGGGTTTGATTCCTGGCTGGAGATGTGTTTCTCTTTGCCATACATCCAAACCAGCCTCTGATCCACTGAGTACTAGGGGTTCTTTCATGGGTGAAAAGTTGACAGTGGCACCACGGTTCCGGAGAATCTGATGTAAATACACCTCGGTAATGTAATGTAATAATTCTCATATAAGATAAGTACTTGTGATATTCTAAGATGTTTTTACCGGCACAAAATTATCTAGTCCACGACACACTTCTTCTACAAGCGATTCACAGCTCAGCTCTTTCCGCAATAACGAAAGCGGATTGTAGACGGCAGTAATGTAACACAACAATGCTGAGTAAACAGATGACACAACAATTAGTTTATTAGGTAACATAACAATGCACGCAGGCGTTCATATAAAAGCTGACCATTGTTGTCGGTCCATATTTACACATTGTTGATATGGATCTTACACAACTTTGTTACGCTTTTTTGCTGAATGACCCTTCCGTATAGATGTATTTACGTCAAAAAGTGACTGTAGTGTGAAACTGACAATCTAGTACCAAGGTCTAGATGGCCGCCCATATGTTTTAACTGGTTAACATGAAGTGCCATACACTGTATGTTACTACTGATTTTTCATTGAGTAAATAATTGTAGTCATTTATTGATTTTAAATGGTGGGACTAGTGAAGTGGACACACTATCAAAGAAAACTTTTCCTTTAGCAGGTTAGAATTTGGGATTTACATACCCCATGCAGAAAGGCTAATGACATTACTTATAGTATAATAACAATGGAATTCAGTTTGACCAACTGATTTTCAAATTGAATAAACTGAAGAAAGTAAGTTAAAACTGATGGAAACAAAATTAAATGATGTAATCATTCAGGAAATCAGTGACTGTCCCCATAATTTTATAATTTTTTAAAAATAAAATGTACTGAAATAATAATTTCAGTACATATACACACATACATACTGACTGAAAAAAATGTTATCTTTCCTGTTGGGGCTGAATAACTGATTTCTTACAGAACTCTTCTGTAACACCTCTTTTTAAATTTTTATCCTTGAAGCAAGAGAGGCTAGATTGGACTGCCAAATATGGAGCTGGTACCATAGATTTGTCCCCGTGCAGAGCAAGAAACATAAATTATTCATACTTGTTATTAAATTCAGGTTGTAAAACAAAAGGTTCTGACATCACACATTTTTTCTATTACTTATGCACTGTATATGACTGCCTAGTAACGAAACAGTGGTAGACTCATAACTTTATACATTAAACTGTAAATACCTGCCAATTTATCAGCCAGTGGAAAAAAATGATGGCAGGAAATGGGATGACAGAAGGATTTTGTTAATGTTTGTGTTCTGGGTAGTAATAACATGTGGACTTGTAGATGTTTCAAAGAAATATACCATCTCCATTTTCAAGGCTTAAGATGAAGACAGTACATTTATCAAAAACACTGGTATCTACCTACCAGTCCACATGGTGTTACTGCCATGAGAACCTCAAATCTCATAAAAAGAATTCATACTATAGACATGTGCTCATTCTGCAGAATGAAACTGATTCATGATCTCTCTTCCAGAAATCCATCATCATGGCTTTCAAAGTTAAATCCATTTTCAAGGAAACAGGGTTCCTAATTCCAGTCTGCACTACAACAGCATCCACATGTAAATCAGTATTGAAGTAAATAAAATACATCTTTCTTACACAGGCTATACTATATAGTTCACGTATTCCTAAAAGCCTTTCCCTTTTTTATGGAATTCAAGATTCTGAATTATTGCATATGGACTCCAGATGTGATTTACATATATGGGTGCAAAACATCTCTCTCATGCTGATGGAAGAAAATAAACTGAAGGTACAAAATTCTGAGGAGAATACAATGTCTGGAACAAAGAGAAATCTGAGGTACTTATGGAAATTGCTGATCTAATCAATGTTGACATTACAGAAGATATATGAAAATTACTGTCATTCATTTCATGGCCAGATTTCAAGTTATGTTAATATAACCATAACCTGAATTGTATTTACTTACAATGTTAACAGATATGACTATAAATATATTTCATATTAATTTATAAAACGTTTAAAGATATTTAATCTGAAATAATACGAAGTACATTATGTGCTTATAGTTTTGGGACACAAATTCTTGCTACTGACCACTGATGGTTGAACAGTATATATTTCATTCAAGACAAGAAATATTCCAAAGCGAATTAATAAAATGATAGATATTTTAAAATACTCCTGCTGATAGGGAAGGAAGCTATGTTCCAGTGACAAAGCTACATTTTAAAAAATTACCAAGCCTCTGCATAATGAATACCAAATAATTATAGGAAAATTAATATATGAAACCAAAAAGTGCATTTTTCTGTCTTCGCATCAAATATTGTACTACAAAGTGTTGCCAGCTAGTAGTAATAATATGTAATGAAAGTGCTAAAAAAGAATTCAAGATTTTTAAATGAGGTTCCTGAGACATAGTGATGGGATGAGATTATTGGACAGACAAGGGAACGAAATATATCTTTAAAAGTAAATACAAAAATAAAGGATATGTGAACTTATCAAAATAGAAATATGTGAGAAACCTGTAGTTCATAATATAGTTACAGGGATGAAAAGGCTCTATAGTAGAATGGGTAAAGGCAACGTGGAGTTATAAACCTACGGGCAGAGAAACACTGGAGAGATAATTCTGAGGCTGGTCCATAATCCATGATGATCATGACTATAAAATTAAGAATCTGCCAATTCACCTCAAAATGGACAATAAAAATGCCATATGTTATTTTAGTATCTATAGTGCTTTTATTTTTTCTAGGAAAAAATATACTGGTACTCAGAAGTGAAAAAGAGTTGTAGAGGGCACATGTTTACATTTCTTTGACAGAATATATTGCCAATGAATCAGGAATTAACAAAAAATAGGAATTTAAATAAAATACAAAGATATGCGAGCTGAAGTTTTCATGGCCATGATAACTGAATGTGGTCTTCTGGGTTGTGATGCCATGTAGTCTTACAGGTGGTTACCAATGCATTGAGGGAACATATAACCTCACTACTCTTTACCCTGAAGATAGAGGTGACATATTCCTCTGAAATACTGGTAAGCATTTCTGTGACTACATGGTGTCACAACCCAGAAGACCAAGGTTCACAAAATAAAATATAAATCCTTACTTCAATCTCAGTTATTTTGTAATTTTATTAACACACTTTCTTCATTTTGTGTTCTACAAAGAAAAGTTTCGGAATGGTATACTATAATCACACTATCAGAAATACGAACTTCAGTATTTATAAGGGAAAAGCATTACACTACTAACAGAGGGTAATAGTCAAATTACCAAAATATTAGGGCCTCTTTATATATTAACTACCTAGAAATTAAAATTAGGAAGTTTTTTAAAATTTCTGACCTTTTCAGAACCCTGATAATTAACTGTGTATGTCTGTCTGTATCTTTTACTTTGGATTCTATTCACTGCTTCCAAATCTCTGGTTTCATACTTGTCATTACCTGAGACATTTCAACTTACAGAACAGTCCACCTCTCCTTCACGTGGTAGGCAGTCCAAAAGCGCAGCAACTGCTCGTGTAACATACGTCATTGTGCCGTAGCTACCGCTTGGTGCACTGTCATAAAAATGCTGACAGATGTAAGCTGCTCCTCCACACAGAAGTCCCCCACATGATGTTATCTCTCTCTTATCTTTTGGCTTTGCACAACAAAGTGTTGCATCCCCATTCACTTTCATCTGTAACATTATGTTCAATCATGCTCAATGATGTGTATTTATGAGAGCAGCTTGATGCCTGTCTGCACAAGCTGAGAACTTAGCAACAGCATGCACTGTAACATAACAAGCATTCTATTTGGCAGACTTTGTTAATATTTTCTGTACCAAACTTTCTACATGTTTCAGCGTGAATCACTACACTGCTTTCCTAGTCATCATGATAGTCAGAAAGGGGAAGCAACTTTTGTCTCTTTTAAATTTACTGTTTCTGTTCTACTTATTGAGATATGTTATATTTGCCAAGATGCCTACATGTCAGCTGTCTGTCCTGCCATCTGTAAAGCTTTCAAATATGGTTTGGCATAAATAAATGCCAGTTTCCTGTGTTTCTGATAGTTAATGTAAGTCACAGAAGCAGGAAATTATCTTCCCATCATTAATATATAAACAATTGGATGCAAAATTGTCGCTCAGACAAGGAAATCCTCATACTACAACTTATGATAATGGTTAACATTATCTAAGATTTCATTTAGTTTATTCAACACTTTCTCATCATCAGAGAGAGCCCTGATGATGGAGGCAGTAAGCACCTGTAAATCATCATCAATTTCTACCAGCGTACACAATAAAACATCCAAGAAAATAGTCATGTTCATGCTATCGGAGTATTTGCCAACAGGAAATAACAATCACAAAGAAAACTAAGCTGGCCCTTTGGTTGATACTCAAACCTGCAAGGTTCCTATTTGGAAACAGGAGTGCCAGCCACTCAGATACACCATTCAGTTATCTGTAGGATAACCTATAGAACACAAACCTTTCCTATTACCTGTGGATACTGAAAAAACAGAGAGACAGATTTCTGACCTGGTCTTCCAGGAAGATCTGATTGGCCTTGTGCACAAGATCTTCAACTGCAATGATGCCTCCCAAAGAGGCAGCAATATTGTATTCAGTAACTAAGGTGAGCACCATAAGAGCTTCAACGATGAGCTGTCGATACTCTGGCTGGGGAATAGAGTTAAGCACCGTCTCCACAGCCAAAGCAAACTTCAGTTCTCCAGGAGTCATCTGCAATGTCACAATTATACATACAAATCAACAGAACCTTTTCAAAACAATCTGGATTAAACAGAAACCCACCCAGAGAATATAGTATGAAAACAAATGTAAAATTATCTCTCATAAATGAAAATCATGTAACATGGAAACAGAAAGGAAAACAAGTCTCATTAAATATTGTGTCACTCACCTCTTGTGTCAAGTTCTGAGGGAGAACTCTACCTTCAATGGCAAGTCCTTGACACTGTAAGAGATAAAGAAACTTGTTATAAAATCTGAAATTTACTACAACTACCCTCTCTGGCTCAAAGCAGTGGTATTTCGATGTTACAAACTAACCTACAAAAGCTGCAGTTCAATTACTGATTGATTTTTAGTTAATTTGATGAAAATGTTTCACCTTCAGAAGTTATCTGGTGCAGAATAAGATGGGAAGATGTTGGCAAAATGCATAATATTTTCAGGAAGCCACTTACAGGTACATGTAATACCTGGCAACTGAGTGGAAAAGGTTATTTGTGCAGTACTGCTTACAAATTCTTTGCAGAGTAGGTCTGTACTTCATACCTAGTGATTGCAACTAATTGTTTTGTTACTTCATTTGGAACTTAAATAATAAAACTACTAGAAGCATAAGTGCACATAATGGAATAGCCATTTTTAAATTTCTTCCCTCTAGGTACATGCTTTTATGCAGACTACTGACAAGAACAATAGTAGGGATTTTAAACCCTTCCCTGATTATCCTGAGATATCTCGGGTTGGTTATTCTTGAGAGGGGGAGGGAAAAAACCCATTAATGTGAGTTAATTCGGAACAATTTCTTGTCCCAAACTGAGTTAATTGAGACTGTGAAGAAAATATGTATATCAGACTCTAGATATCAGTAAATTACAGATTGCTATATTTTCACAAGTCTTGTACATTTATACATTTTCATGCTTGATCACACACAAATAGGAGGCTTTTATGCTTTTGTAACATGTGTCATAAGTTCCCATGCTACCTGTAGTGTCACTTGTGTGCTGTGATTTTGAAGTTAATATTTACAAACACTGGAATGTGACCCAAGGTAATTCAGGATAATTATTACAATTATATTTAAAGTTTAAAGTTTAAATGCGTCATGTTTGTGTTTTATAATTAAAATATATAATATAATTCAGGTCTATACACAAACTTTATTTACAGATGTTAAAATTTAAAATTTGCGCTATTCATCGTTACTACGATGTTACAATACTGCGCCTTCATTTACTACATGTTTCGATGCGTAGCATCATCTTCAGGTTTTTCCTTTAAAACTACTTTATATTACAATGCAAGTTTTTCATTTATTCATCTGTTTTGTAAATTATTACAGTATGTACTTTTTATTTTGATTTTAGCATATTTTGGTGTTATTTTGCTATTTAGACATATCTTATTGAATCTTACAATTATACGTATATTTTGTACAGTATGAAAAACATAAACATAATTTCATTATTGTGGGAATATTCCAAACATGAAAGAAAAGAATATGATTCTTATTAAAAAAATCAGGGAAAGGTTTGGAGGAGGCAGTCAAGCTACAATCCCAGATAACATTCTGAAATAGACACTAACTTCTATATGTTAATAAACGATAAAAGATTCTTACCTCTAAACTTTAAAGTAACCACCATTATGTAAAAGTTATTCTATTACCTTTTCCAATACCCCCCAGACATGAGGGTAGAAATTCCTAGGTACCCTGTTCAGTGCTCCATCAAGTCTGCGTCTTCGCAGCCACTGCCCTTGACGGTCCGGTTCAACATCTTCAGTCCCTTCCGAGTCACCACCTAACAGGCTGCCAATCTGACTCTTCTGTAAGAAATTAACATTCTTATAAATACTTCACAATTTATAAGATTGTAAGGACTGCATTATCAAGTCTTTGAATGTGGACTCAGAATGTCCACGTTTAATATGGGAGGGCATTTTTATTTCAGTTAATTGATGTTACACAAGTCCCTTGCCACAACCATATAGCACATCCTCAGGCAGAGATGGCCTCCATATATGAAGGACAATTGTGTTGAAACTTGTCTAAATGATATTTAAAAATTCAGTCTGTACTGCAAAGAAAACTCAACATTTCACCATTACAAAGATCAAGATTAATGCTGTTTAAGGAAATAATTGGTATTTAGAATGAGAATTATTTGAAACCCATAAATACAAAATTAAGAGTTACTGATTGTTGAAGCAGGTGGGACATATAGTTACCATTGAGCTTTAAGGGGTTAATAAGCTATTGTGTACAGCCAAAAGTGATTCAGCATGGGGATAAAAATCCCTCACTGAAAGAAACAAGGATTGAAATGTCACAAATGGTCTCAGATTTGGATATAATCTTTGGCATGACCTAAAGGAATTTGGGCACAAGATGCTGAGGTGAATGTTCTGACCTAGGAAAGAGGAAGTAACAGCAAGATTTAGAAAATTATACAACAAAGAGCTTCATAATTTGTACTCTTCACCAAATATTATCACAATGATCATATGAAGGAGGATGATATAAGCAGGGAATGTAGCATGCACATGGGAGATGAGGAATGCATATACAGTTGTAGTCACAAAAAACCTTGAGAGAAGAGACCACTTGAGACATTTAGGCACATATGGTAGGAAAACATTAAAATGTTTCTAAAGGAAACAGTGTGTGCTATAGACTGCTTTCAATTGGTTCAGGATAAGGTCCAATGGAACACTTTTGTGAATCCAGTAATGAACATTTAGGTTCCATAAAAGTATAACATTTCTTGACTAACTTAGCAGCAATAAAATTTTCAAGAAAGATACTGTATAATGCAGTATGCTGGATCAAAAAGTTCATCTCATATTTTGCTTTTAACTCTGACCCTGAGGGAGGCATAAGTTTTAAAAATATCAGTAATTTTTACCACTTTGATACAGTACAATTCTCTGGAGACTCTACAACAATTTTACTATGTCCTTCACAAATAGTATCTATTCAAAAGGATGGCTTATGCTTACCTTACTAACACGACTTGATTTACAACTGATTACTGAGAAGTTCCCGCGTCCAACTAAAGAAGAAAAAATTAGAAGGGAAAAAATCATAATAATTGTGAATTTTGGGTTCTTAATATCATATTGCTTCACCTTATGTTGCAGGCCATGCACAAGAATTATCACACTGCTTAGTAAAATTGTAATAGTTCTTATGAGAAGAGAGACTTCTGTGCAGAAGCAGAAATGGCTGAAAATAAAATACTGTGCATGGCAGTACCATCTCATAACATACATATTAATTACATGCAAAGGAAAACAAGTGACAAATTTTATTTCCCTTTGCTCTTGTTTAACTTAGTGAGATAATTTATTTATCATGACGCAAAGGATAGTGTCATTTATCAAGAAGTAAGTGTACTACAATCTTAAAAATATGGCATAAAAGTCAATTTTCCGCATTCCTGATGGCTAATGCTAGAATCACAAAAGTAGGAAAGTACCTTCTCACCAAGAATGTCTGAAGAGTTACAATATAATTCCTGACTATGTTTGTACTTATTTAAAGTATAGTATGTAAAAATGTGTGCAACATACCACTGCTAATAGCAAATTCCTTTCCGCTCAAAATATGGTGCAATAAATTCTTCATCTCAAATGGAGACAGGTTAAGCAAGTGTTCAGATGCTTCTTCTCCTGTGCAGATCAGCGTTCGAGAAAGTTCAGTGGCCATCACCTATTTATTATACAAATAATAAATCAAGTACCCAGACCTCCCCATTCCCCACAATATGATGCAATTAACAGTTTCATGGATAAAATAAGTTATATGTGTGAAGTTCAAAGCCACATATATGTCAAGTTAGAAGTTTGTAAATTTGAGTGTATTTCCATGCTGTAATCATAGAAAAGTAAACATAAATTACACTTACCTGAATAATCAAACCAACTCGAAGTCTTAACATTTCTAGGAAAAGCTGTGGTTCTGTTCTAATGAACATAGCCAGGTACACTAGTAACTCCTAGAAAAAAGTACAGAGTCAGACAGCAAGATACAATACACCAACTTCCTACTTGGACCAAAGTAGGAGTCAGAAGCACATGCACATATGTGCAGCTGTCAAACAAAATTTCACTGTTATTCTTAATTACATGTCTGGTGAAGGTACATTTTCTGTTTGCCACCACATCTAAACCAGTTCTGAGACCCACCCCTCACTTTATCAAATGGATACTAGTGATTCTTTTCCCATGGGTAAAGTGACCAAAGCATGAAGCTGACCACTTAGCTCTATCTCATTCTGAGGTCAATAATTGTGGTGTTTTATCTCCACTCCTCCCACACACAAGGACATTTTTACCATTTACCTACTGGAAGGAGTTGGCTGTCTCAAATTAAGATAATAGTCTCTAATTCAGAAGATCCTGGATTCGATCACCAGTCACATCTGTGTGTAGTATTATCAACTTACAGACTGAATACTTCACCTCTGCTAAAGATAAACATTTGGTATAATGAAGTATGCTGGGCCCTCACATGATAAACAGATCACAAGAAACTGCAGCCATCATCCTCATGATAAATCTACTATCAGAAGTAACAGAATCTGCTCTATGTGTGCTCTCATCTCAGAAATGGGTTACACAATTGCCTCAAGGTCAACAGAAGGTAGGAACAGTCAAAACAGAAGATCAAAAACCCACCCACCTGCCTCATACCAATGTTAGTAACTGATTGATCCTTAGGTAATTAAATAAAGCTCTTTCCAACTTGTGACAATGAATAAAATGGAAAGATGATAAGGGTTAGTGAGTACATAAGTAATTGGAAGCAGGTGGTAATTGTCTATTTAGCAATATCATACCAAAATTTTCCTGAGACTTAGAAAAACCAGGAGACAGACATAGACAAATAAATAGGCACACTCACTCATACCTGGCAAATGCACAGGTCTCAAAAAAAAGGAGCTCTGGTTGTTTAAAGAAAAAGGAAAATACCTGTGTCAACATGGCAGTGCTCTCATCATCACCATACGCTTGATGAATCAACTGTCGCAGATCAATTTCTGGAAGTGGTGCTGTGATGGTATGCTCATTTGCAGGAGGCATACCAACAGTCACCTATAAAAATATACAGCCTTTGGTTAAGCCCACAGAAACTATAGCTCTTGACTGTTTCTTATTCTGACATTATACCAACAAACAAGATGTTCATAAATTATCTTTCCCATTTAAGAGCACAATACAAGGCAAATCACTGATAATTATAAGAGGAAATTTTACATATAAAATATATATCCAATTACAATAATAACAACAATACGGTGATCTGCATGTGGCAGACATGTAAAATGCATGGAGGAAATGATACATGCATACAAAATTTTGACAAGGAAATCTCAAGAGAAGAGACCACTTCAGACCCCTAGGCATAGATGTGAGGATAGTATTAAATTGAATCTCAGAGAAATGTGGTGTGAAGTAGACTCAACTGGCTCAAGGTAGGTTCTATGATGTTGTTTTGTGAACACAGGTTCTATACAGGCAGAAAATATCTTTTTAAGCAACTATCAATGTAAATGTGATAGATAGATCACCTGCTTCTGACGAACGAGCAGATCAGTAACTGCTTTTGCCAGGTCTTCCACTCTCTTCCCAAGCATCCCAGCTGTATGACGGACCAGACCCCAGAGTTTCTGCTGACAAGCCTTCTCATACAAAACTTTCAGCAAATCCTTTACTG